TGACCCCAAATTTCAACAAATTTGAAAACTGTGCCAAAAACAAAAATCTAATTAACCGGTATATGCTTAGATTCAGCATATCACATAACCACAAGAATTCATTTTTTGTTAAAATCAAACTAAGTTTAATTTTGGATCATTTGGACCCTTCAGTTTGAAAAACGGGCCCTAAATCAATATTTAAAACACTCTGTTAGATTGCACACATTAAAGAACATCATCAATTTAATTTTTGAAAAAATCGAACAAAGTTTAATTTTGGACCCCAATTTGGACCAACTTTGAAAAACAAGCACAAAATCAAAAATCTAAAACACTGTTGGATTGACCATATCAAATAACACCAACAATTAAATTCTTGATGAAATCAAACAAAGTTCAATTTTGGACCTAAATTTGGACCAACTGAATACTGTGCCCAAAATCAAAAATCTAAATACACTCTTAGATTCAGCATATCAAAGAATCCCAACCATTAATTTTTCTTAAAAATCAAACAAATTTTAATTTTGGATCCTTTGGACCTTAATGTGGACCAATTTGAAGACAGGCCCCAAAATTAAAAATCTAAATTCATGATAAAGCATATCAAAAAACACCAATCATTCAATTTTTGAAGAAATGAAACAAAGTTTAATTTTGATCCCTTTGAATCTTAATATGGATCAATTCAACATAATGTATGGCACAATTGTATTTAAAAACTTCACTTACCTACACTTCCACTTCAACAGATGGACAAAAGTCTATTTTAATTTCCAAGGGAATTTTCAACCATAAAAAATATTCAAACATGTTAACAATCTTTACATAGAACACAATGCATACACAATTATCACAACAATTATTATATCGGAACCAGCAAATCTATTTTAAACTATGACTCAATTTAAAATGTCTATTAGTTGTGCAATAAATCTATCAATGTAGAGTTAATCATTAAACATGCTAAAAAACACCAATGATTTAATTTTTGAAGAAATTAAACAAAGTTTAATTTTGGACCAAAATTTGGACCAACTTTGAAAACCAAGCACAAAATCAAAAAATCTAAAATACTGTTGAATTGACCATATCAAATAACACAAATAATTAAATTTTTGATGATATCAAAAGATGTTCAATTTTGGACCATCTTGAACAATGTTGAATACTGTGCTGCCCAAAATCAAAAATCTAAATACATGCTTAGATTCATCATATCAAAAACCCCGACCATTCTTTTTTTTTTAAATCAGAAAAAAGTTGTATTTTGGACCCTTTGGACTTTAATGTGGACCAATTTGAAGACAGTCCTCAAAATTAAAAATTCCAAATACACAATTAGATTCTGCATATCAAGGAACACCAATAATTTTAATTTTAAAGAAATCAAACAAGACTTTTGAATTAAACCCCATTGAAATTGCTAAAGAAATACGCAATGTATACAAAGTATTAGTTTTGGCCCCTTTTAACTCATAACCCCTAAAATCAATCTCAAACTTTATTTTATGGTTATAATACCTTGTTGCACAATTAAATAGCAATACATAGACTAATGCTAAAGTTATTGTCCAAAAATCAGAAAATCCTAATTTTGTGGACCCTAATTATCAAACGGTTTGGACCATGACCCGTAAAATCAATCCCAACTTTCCTTTTGAAGTATGAAACCTTATAGTAAAATATCATAGAAATCCATACTCTAATACACTAATTTGTGTCCTGAAACATGAAAAATGTTTGTTTTTGACCCCCTTTTAACTAAACAGCTACAACAACAACCCCCAAAGTAAATCCCAACTTTCCTATTGTGGTATGGAACCTTGTGCCTAAATTTAATACAGATCTATACAGTTATACTCAAGTCATTTTCTGTGAACCAAACAAACAATTGTTTTTGTTAGGCCCTTTTTTGTCCCTAATTCCTAAACAGCTACTTTAATAACCCCCAAAATAAACCCCAACCTTCCTATTGTGGTATGGAACCTTGTGCTAAAATTGAATAGAGATCCATACACTTATACTCAAGTTATTGCCTGCAAACCAGAAAACTAGTTGTTTTTGGCCCCGTTTCGACTCCTTATTATTATCGGTATGGGCCATGACCTTCCAATAATCAAACAAACTTTCCTTTTGAAGTATGGAACCTTGTTGTAAAATTTTATAGAAATCTATACTCTTATACAACAATTATTGTCCTGAAACATGAAAAATGCTTGTTTTTGGCCCCTTTTTGGCCCCTAATTACTAAACACCTACCACAAAACCCCCCAAAAATAAACCACAACCTTCCTATTGTGATATAAAACTTTGTGCTTAAATTGAATAGAGATCCATACACTTAAACTCAAGTTATTGTCTGTGAACCTGACCAAAAATTGTTTTTGTTAGGTTTTGTTAGGCCTTTTTTGGCCCCAATTCCTAAACAGCATTGACAATAACCCCAAAAATTAATCCCAATTTTTCTGTTGAACAACCCCTAACATCCTATTGTGGCATGGAACCTTGTACTAAAATTTCTTATACATCCATACACTTATATTAAAGTTATTGTCCATGTTGTCTGTGAACCAATTTATTTTTCATGAACCAGTTACACTTATACCTTTTTTGGCCCCTAATTACAAAACCGCTAAGACAATAGCTCCCAAAAACAATCCCAACCATCCTTTAGTGGTATGGAACTTTGCTAAAATGTCATAGAGATCCATGAATTTGTACTCAAGCTATTGTCTGCGAACCAAAATGTCTTCAGACGCAGACGCAGACAACACCATAGCATAATATCAACGCAAATAAATTTGCGGTCGTATAAAAACAACAACAGTTGTGATAGAAATTGTTTGAGGCCGGTACTTCCCGGTTACAATCAATCATTTGGAAGAAAACTAAGTGAAGATTTACATGTGTTTAGAAACTAACCTTGTGTACAATCTAACACAATTACGCAGACATGATAAGAAACTATCTAGCCTATTTCCGATACAAACGTATCACTCAGACAATAACATTGTTCAGGCATTTTCAGGATTTCAATGGAAATACTCCTGCATCATGTGACGAATGAGCCTATATATCAATTAAAAATAATATGTATTGTACCATTAGGTAAAGTCGTATCGCTTGCGGTCAAAATGTGCTTGTCCATATGATTTCAAATGCCGCACTGTTGTCCCTTTGGTCAGAATTAAACTAGAAATGTTTATGGAGAACACCCAGTCAGTAATTTAGTTTCAATATTTATTTTAAGAAATATTTAAATATGAAAAACAATTGACAATAGAGCAATCAGATACAAACGTAAGATTGTCTCTTATGGTGTTGTCTTTGTATATGTAAGATAATGATAATCTCTTTCTTCATGATTAAGCACGAGCGTTAGCGAGTACTTATCATGAAGTAAGGGATTATCATTCTCTTACAAACTTAGAATATTGTAAAGTGCGTAAGGCTCAAATGATCTCTTGATTGGTTGTATTCAAGAATTAGTTTCATTGTCAGTGCAATGTTTATAATTGATGCATGATTTCCTTTCTTGGCATGTCATTTATGGATTAGTTTTAGTGATGTGAGGACTTTCTTATCATTTAGGAAACATTTTTAAAAAAAGTGCGTTATAGATAGTACTTTGACACAACAGTGTAAAGCAAAGGTAGGAATTGTATAAGTTTCCTGATTGCAAGTATAAACGTAAATAGTTATCAAAGGTACCAGGATTATAATCTAATACGCCAGACGCGCATTTCGTCTACATAAGACTCATCAGTGACGCTCAGATCAAAATAGTTACAAAGCCAAACAAGTACAAAGTTGAAGAGCATTGAGGACCCAAAATTCCAAAAAATTGTGCCAAATACGGCTTAGGTAATCTATTCCTGGGATAGGAAAATCCTTAGTTTTTCGAAATATTCAAAGTTTTGTAACAGGAAATTTATAAAAATTACCATATAATTGATATTCATGTCAACACCAAAGTGCTGACTACTGGGCTGGTGATACCCTCGGGGACGAAACGTCCACCAGCAGTGGCATTGACCCAGTGGTGTAAATATAATTTAATACGCCAGACGCATATAGAGAAGTTACAGTGAAGGACAACTCAGAAAATGCTTTGGATGCATCAAATTTATAAAAAAATCAAAAGATACCAGGCTTCTAAATTGATACGCCAGACGTGTGATTGGTGTATAGAAGACTCATCGATCAACAACGCTTGAATCAAAACAGTTGGAAGGCCGAATCAAGTACGAACATTCCGAAAAATTATGCCAAATAGGGCTTATGCAATATATGCCTTTGGGAGAGAAAAACCTCAGTGTTTGGAATAATTCAACATTTTATATTCAGTAAATTAACAACAACACGAACAAGGGAAGAGTTGTAAAATTGGCAGCAAACTCGATGAATTGGCGCCTGAATTGTAAAAAGCAATACCGTCAATATCGAACTTGACCTATATTTTGTCATCAGTACCAACATTTATAATTTGAAAACCATAGGAGGAAAGGTCCATAAGTAATTGTACAACATAAAATGACATTTTCTAAAAGTTCGAGGACCATAACTCCTGAACGGTAAAGGTACAAATCGTCCCTCCATGCTGTCATCAGTATCAACATAATAAAATCAGAAAAGCATCTGTTGAACGATTCATACGTTATTTCTATCCTACCACAGATTATGACAGTTCTACCCAAGAATTGATTTAAGCGGTTCTTTCGTAGACGTGATTATGACATATCTACCTTTTTGTTCAGTACTACCTTTTAACTGATTCGCTAAATGTACCCTAGAAATTGTTCTGACAGTTCAATCCTAGAACTGATTCCAGATTTAATTAACAGATGTAAGAACTAATCCCACTTTAAGCATGTTACTAAGTGTAAATCGATTAATTTAAATAAAACCACCTCGCATAACCTATAATGTTTATGTCCTCATGGACAAATAGAAGTCATAACTATATTCTAAACGTATTATAGTTCAAACACAAATTTCCCATAAAATAAGCATACCTTCTGCATGAGGTCTTAACGATGGTTTGACAATCGATGGAATCTGTGAACTTCCAGGCAACCTGATATAAATATAACTAAACTAAAGCAGAGGTAAACTTATCTCATAAAAAAAATAAAAACAATACGCGTTATAAATTACATGCGTCCGAAATGCTTATCTAGCATAACATTTCCTAAATATTTCCTGTATAACTGTATCGATAAACAAAGAAAATATCTGAATAACCACATTAATTGAAGACAGCTATAGAAACAGTACAATATTCTCCCGACAGTATGTATATTTTGCTCGTAAAATCTTAATATATGTTCCACGATTTAAACAAACTATGACACTTTCAATTAAAATTTTAAGTCCGTCAAATACAAAGAAAACATATAGCCTTTTGGAAATTTTTGGCTGCAACTTAGTTCTTGACTGCATAAATGGAGTTGACCTTTGAATATTAAACGATCCCTTTTTGCATTTTCTTATATTCCAAATATTTTTACTACTTTGTTTTGTTCTATATTTCCATACATCAAATTGACTTTACTTATTTTTTACAAGGTTTAAGTTCAAAGATTAAACTCATCTCATTAAACTCTAATGAGTTTAAAGGCTGCAGTTGCTGAGTTATAATTATATTGTATGAGGATTATGCAACCAATTTTAAATTGATCACTGGAATTCTCATGCAAACTTTAATATTTTTTAATTATTTTAAGTTGTAGTCCTCAATAAACAAAATAGTGGATACGCTAAAATGTCTTGCATGCTTTACTGATTATAATCAAAATTTGGTTGAATCTTTCAGGAATATTATGATAAGAGGCTGGGTAAACGAAAAAATGAAACTTGGCAAATATGTTTGGTAATAGAAATCATGAAATTTAAACTCCATGAAAACCAACTTTATATAATTTTCATGGAAGTACCAAATTAGGGAATGCAACAAAATACTTTAAAACTTGGTGCGCCCGAAGCGCTTTTCTAAACTGACCTCCATTGCGACCAAAAGAGACCTAAAGGAATAGATAAAGCTATCTTAGGACAATTTGGCCCAGGGTAAATGGTGCATTAGTTTCTTAGTGATTGGTCAATATATCAACGGAGAATTCAAAGAGTGGTTATATTTTTAAATCGTGTCAGTACCGAAGCACTATTAATTATAGTGATCTGACCTAATCACGAAAACTTAGCGTTAATTACTGAACTATGAAATATGGTTATGTCGAGTGACCCTCTACAATGCACAATTCGATATACTAGATATTGTTGTCTCACTGTACTTTGAAATTGAGGTCGAGGACGAATCAAATATGCCAGACTCAAAATATCAGAACATTATGCAACTGTTGTTGATATTGACTATTTTGCTCTTCTATCTCTATTTAAAAATCTGAAGCATTATACAAATAGTTAACGCTGTTGACGCCACAAGACAAGCATTTGTTTGTCTCACATACTGCATTATTCAGCGGAGGCAAGCACAAATTAGCATAAAGCATTTGCTGCTAATGCAACACAAAAACACTTACATTACAGTCTCAATTGGTTTGCAGTCAAAGCTAGTTTTCCATTCATTCTCATTAAGACATTCATAATCTGCAAAATAGACTTCCATTTAGTACATAAAAAGAGTATTCTTGATATCTAAATTATAATTGTCCTCAAAAAAATATTTGTTGGAATATCTTAAATCGATTTGAATGAAATATTGAGTTTATCTAACATTTCAGATGCGTGATAGATAAATGGATAATTCAAACATAATGTACATTGAATTTAACTGTATTTCGATCAGACTTTCCACAAATTACTTAAAACATTTATTTAATTCTTCATATATATATATAAAGATTTGAATTGGAAGTTTGGTTCTACCTGTAGAAAACTTATTTCAAACGGGATAGCACATGCTAAATTTTACGGAGATGCTTTTTACCGAACCCGGAAATTTATATACGATCCGGGTAAATTCGTCGATCCTTAAATACACTTATTCTAAAAGGTTACAAATTCAACACTGTAATTGGATCTTTGAATATTGTTTTTGTTGGTATTAATATTGATTTTGTTATCAGTAAATTAAAATCAAACTAAATATTATTGTTATATACATATGCACATTCATGGCTCTACAATCTTTCGATATCTGTATCTTGGCATTGCACATGCTTTTCTCTGACTGTTAATGACGTCTTTACACTTAATCCATTGAATGCTGGATGTGTACTGATTGATATTTTAGTCTTAGATGCAAGATTGTTTTTATTAGTTGTTTTTTTGGCTTTGAGCTAGCTGTCAGTAACTGCAGGTACTCTAAGATCTGTACTTTGTGTCTTTTTGTTGTGGAAATGTACAAGAACCCTGCCACGTCCACTCTGTGTTTTGTTAGATGTATTTCTGCTTTGTATCTACCTGGTGAGATAAGCCCTTTTCAACTGATTTTTCAGGTTTGTTCTCATGATGTACTGTTACACCACTGTTCCAGTTAGACGTAGGGTTGGCGCCTTCAAACTACTTTTAACCCTGCTACATTATATATGTGCCTGTCCCAAGTCAGGAGCCTGTAATTAGGTGGTTGTCGTTTTTTGCTGTCTCTCATATTTTTTTTTTTCGTTTATTGTTTTGTATAGTTTGTTCTTATCTTATCATAGTTGTTTCTCGTTCATTATTTTGTACATATATCAGGCCGTTAGTTTTCTCGTTTGAGTTGTTTTATATTTGTCATTTCGGGGCCACTAATAGATGACTATAAGTATGCGTTTTACTCATTGTTGAAGGCCTTACGGTGACATTGTTATTAAATAAATTTTGTTTTCAAAGAGGCTAGAATTGGCTGCGTACGTTTATATCGTTAAATGGTAAGTACAATACAAAAATAAGGAGATGTTGTATGGTTGCCAATGAGACAACAATCCACAATAGAACATATTACACAGAAATTAACAACTATATATTAATAAGCTTATAGCTGAACATTCTACCTATTCAATTTGCTATTACACAAACTGTCTCACATACCTGGTGATAAAATGTAATTATATGGACATATCTTAGAATAACAGGAACAATCTTCATCAGATGGTACACAGTAGCATCTATGTTTTGGTCGGATTATAAAATTGAAACCCCTCGTATAATCACAGCGGCATACACTATCCGTTATCTGTGTCCCATTTCCGTAAATGACTTGACCTTCTTCATTGCAGTAAGATTTTTTATAAGCACAGCGACTGTTCCCAGAAGACAGGAATTTAAAAGGTTGATAGAAATCATTTTCACAAGGAGCTCCCTGTAGTGTCCCGTTAATTGACCCAGCAACTATAAGTTTTTGTCCTATAATAAAATATGTATTTTACAAATAAGCTTATTGATATTTTCATACATCAATTATAGCCCATACATGGCAATTATTTCGAACAAATAATTGCAAAACATCTCTAGTGATTGAAACAACACACTGTCAAGAGACTCTCCATCTGTATATATTGAACACAACCAATTACTAGAGAGATACAACGGTTTGTTGTATTTTAGTATATTTCACATTCTCTCATTTAAATAATCATTTGGCCAGCTGCGTTCGACTTAAATGTTAGGATTGACTATCCCTTAAACACGTTGATTTCAACTAACCACATTGGACTTCCATGCAGGAGTAGTTAATTGCTTGCGCACAATACAAAAACATACTGGTGTATTACAATGTCATAACAGCAATACTTCCACCTCTGTAATATAAACAATCGACGGGTATGTTCCAAATGTCGTAACCCCAATCCCGGTTTCTCCCCTTTTCTGGTTTTCTTTATGTAGGATTGGAACCATGATCTAATTAAAACAGAATATTTCTTCTGGAATACATACATGAGTTTTATAGTGCACTACTTAAGTAGTTAAAACTTCTTAATATTCGATTCTTAATAAAAACTAAACAAATGGTTCAGATACGTTTACACATACAATGTATATAGTATATGAGAAAGCGTATTACCTGGTGCTTCAAAATCTGAATTTCCTCTGCAAAATTCAGTAAAGTTTTGATCATTCCGAAACCGATCAAACAAGCAAAAATAACTATCTGCAAGCCCACAGTGCGCTTCTGTTCTATGTTTCCAGTGGGATTGAACAGGACACTGAAAGGTAAAGACGGCCTCAGATATCTTCCATAATGACATTATCTGAAACAAATTCAATAGAGTAAAAGTAAGCGGAAACTTAGATAAGGTTGATTGGGGTGTCTTTTTCTGAGCTTCCTTCTGGGCATGTTACAAACATACGTTTTTGGTTCAAAAATAGTTAACTAAGTATCATTCAATTTACAACAGAAAAATCTAAAACTTGAAATTTAAAGATCAAACTATAAAAAGAGTTTTGCAAAGAATTCCGCTCAAACCGGTACTACGGGCCGTCTTAAACTTGCAGTGAGTTGAGAGTTTTTTGGCTCCGTGTTGAAGGCCTCACTGTGACATTGCAACGACGAATAGCAATAAAAGCGCGGTTTTTTTTTTTTTTTTTTTTTTTTGCTGTGCATGTACTGATTTCGTGTCATAGATGGATACCCAATATCCTTTGTTTTTCTATCAATTAAAGATTGAGTGAACAAATCTTGCATAAATAAGGTCCATGTAAACTCAGTAATCATTCAATTAAATAAACGTATTCTTAAAGATTATTCAATAGAACACCGGCAGTAGTAAAATATTTAAATATTGTTTTTATTGTTACTAACATTCATTTTGTTTTTGATGAATTAAGAAATAATTAAATATATATTTATCTATGATAAGTATATTTGCTATATATGACCAGTTATGAGTACTCATGATCCTACATCCTGTCGATACTGTTTACTTATTTTTTGTCATTGCATAAGGTCATTCGTTTCTAAGACTGTATATGACTCGCCGCATACTAAATCCGTTGGATGTGTATTGACTGATACTTTAGTCAGGGAAAATATGATTTATTTTTTAGTTGTAATTGGCTTTGAACTAGCTTTCAGTAACTGCGAGTACTCTTATATGGCGGTTTTGTGTCTATTATTTTTATGTTAGTTCGTTTATTTGTGCTTCGTATCGATCTACTGACATGACTGAGTTCAGCTATTTGCAACTGATTTGTACAGTGTGTTCTTATGTTGTGCTGTAACATTACTGTCCCAGATTAGGGAAAGAGTTGATCATTCACATATTCTGTATATGCCTGTCCAAGTCAGGAGCCTGTTATTCAGTGGTTGTCGTTGGTTAATGTATGTCAAATATGTTTTTCGTATATTGAATTGAATAAATTAGGCCGTTAGTTTTCTCGTTTGAATTGTTTAAACATTTGTTATGTCGGGGCCTTTTATAGCTGACTATACAATATAGGTTTTGCTCGTTGTTGAAGGCCGTACGATGACCTATAATTGCTTTTATTTCTTCGTACTTTGAACTTTTTTGCAAAGTTGTCTCATCATTGACAATCATACCACATCTCCCTGTTATCATATAGAGTCCAATGGTTTGTTTAGCGATCGCCTGTTTATCTCCGTGAAACGATCTCCCGGTCTATCACGTTGCAGATAAACTATGTGTTATAACAATTGGCACAACATGTAAGATTTTTATGCATCGCCAGTGTTGATATATTTGAATAACTCATTAAAATGTATCACATAGTTGTCAATTTATACTGAAGTCATTCTAAATACTATATCAACTACATACCAGGCAAAGACTGTAGAAATACATTCTGAATGCTGCAAATAAAAGAAATATCATGTCAGGTAAGGGAGCTATATGAACACTTTGATACAATATTATATCTTCACTTTAAGCTTAAGCATTACTAGTGTACTTCTGAAGACAAACTGAAACAAATAAGACAAATTTCTATTAACAATTGTTTGCATCTTTCCAACAAATAATAATGAAGTGATACTGTACAGTTTACCAAAAGATAATTAATAAATTGCACTGAATATAAAAATAAGATGATTTGGCGTGATTGCCAATGCAACAAATCATCACCAGCGACCAAATGACCTAGTAGTTAACAACTATAGGTCACCGTATGGCCTTCAACAATGAGCACAACCCATACCGGATAGCAAAACAGTTAAGTTGCAGGATGAAACAAATATTCGTACAGTGTAGGAAAGTGTAACATTTATTTTAACGAGCTTTAGAAACATAGAGAAAAGCGAGGCTCGCAACCGTTGGGTTTGTATTTGAATGAAATCACACCCCGATGAGAACCAAAAACTGAACTGTGACGTTAACAGTAACTTAAACATAACCGTTCGCTCGCAACAGAAGCAGGATATCAGGAGGCTATAAAAGTAAATGATTGTATACTATACGTTCATGCCTTTTGTTATCTGTACATGTGTATTTGTTGATGTTTTTCTGACATCGATCTAATTTTGCATTATTCTGCAGCTAAATATGGCTTAAATTATAGTTACAAAAATGGTAGCACGATATTTAAACTTATTTTCACACCAGCTTCATATTTCTATATGCTTCTACATGTAATAATCGAATAGACAAAGGCAACATATTTATTTATAAATTTGATATGCATGAGTATTGGTATGATGTAAAAGGATAATTGTTTTTAAAATGTGTTTATGAATAAAAAAAATATGCTGATAAATGTCAATATTACATCAAACAAACATCTAGAGGTAAACAGCAGTCGTCAAAAGCATTTACGTTTCTATACATATCACTAGCTCTAAATTGTCCTAGGTCAATAAAAGTTGACATCAAGTTAAAAAGAAACAGTAAAAGATCTGGACTGCACACATTAATGCAGTTTTGATCACAGCTATACTCATTACTTTATTCAACACGGCGGGTTTGACTAGAGAGGAAAGGAATTTCTGACTCCTGTCGAGCACTTGTTTTAACCCCCGGCTTTAGAAAGGTTCGTTTTGTTCAGTCTATAGTTTTCTGTGTGTTTGTTATTGTAGTTTATCTTTTTGACGTTTGGCCTTTTTCTTGTCTGTTTTTATAGGACTTGTGGTTTGTACTGTCCATTTGATATCTTCTTTTCATTTTGAAGCTATTTTCGTTATTTTCAATGGATTTTCTCAATAAAGCTCGAAAGTTATTTGTTGCATTGTGTAAGTTATCTTTTTATTTATGTTTTGTTGCAAATAAACTTTATATAAGAAACATTAATTATAATTAAACGCACGCTAAAAACAAAGCAAGCAAAACAGAAGTACGAGACTCTTGTCGTAAGTTCTATTGACCGTTTTGCTTCAACAATACTACAAAGTTATTTTTTTTTAATAAATGTACTCTTAGTCTTAGAAAGTTGGCTTTACTCTTTAAAATAAAATGCTCCGCAGGGCGCAGCTTGATACGACCGCAGAGGTCGAACCCTGAACAGTTGGGGCATGTATGGACACAACATTCAAGCTTGATACAGCTCTGAATTTGGATTGTGATTAAATATTTGACCAAGCATAGGTTTCTGACACAGAATGAATGTGGTCTAAGAACTTAACAATTTTAAATTGGACATTCACTTATTATGGTCCAATATCCAAAATCTAAATACATGGTTAGATTCAGCATATCAAAGAACCCCAATAATTCAATTTTTGATGAAATCAAACAAAGTTAAATTTTGGACCCTTTGGACCTCAATGTGGACCAATTTAAAAACGGGGCCCAAAATCCAAAAACTTAATACACGGTTAGATTCAGCATATTAAAGAACCCCAGGAATTCAAGAATAAAACCCCATTGAAATTGATCAAGAAATAAGCAATTTATACGAAGTATCTTCTTTTGCACAATACTGTGCAATTGAATATTTCTTGCTATTGCGCAATACTGTACAATTGACAATTTCTTGCTATTGCGCAATATTGTGCTATTGGATATTTCTTGCTATTGCGCAATACTGTGCAATTGAAGATTTCTTGCTATTGCGCAATACTGTGCAATTGAAGATTTCTTGCTATTGTGCAATACTGTGCAATTGAAAATTTCTTGCTATTGCACACTACTTATTATATAATAATTTACACATCCTGTTTTGTGTGTATCTCCTTCCATATTGTATTATTTTCTTTTAAATATAAATCAGAAATAACCAACTTAAAATGGAAAATTTTAAAAGAAAAAAAAAAGGAAAAAAAGAAAAAAAAAAGAAAAAAAAAATCCCCCCCCTCAAATTTTTTGAACCCCCTTATGATTCATCACCCCCAAACTCAATCCCAGCCTTCCCTTTGTGGTATGGTACCTTGCAGTACAATTTCAGAGAGATCCATACACTAGAACACAAGTTATTGTCTGGAAACTAGAAAGATGCTTATTTTTGGCCCCTTTTTGGCCCCCAATTCCTAAACGTTTCGGGCAACTACCCCCAAACTCAATTCCAGCTTTCCCTTTGTGATATGGAACCTTGTAGTACAATTTCAGAAATATCCAAACACTTACACACAAGTTATTGTCATGAAACTAGAAAAATGCTTGTTTTTTGCCCCTTTTTTGGCCCCTAATTCCTAAAATTTTGAGGCAATTACCCCCAAAATCAATTACAGCCTTCCCTTTGTGATATGGAACCTTGTGGTACAATGTCAGAGAGATCCATACACTTACACACAAGTTATTGTCTGGAAGTTACAGAAATGCTTATTTTTGGCCCCTTTTTGGCCCCTAATTCCTCAACTGTTGGTACCATAACCCCCAAAATCAATCCCAACCTTCCTTTCGTGGTATTGAACCTTATGGTAAAATTTCATGGAGATCCATTCACTTATACTAAAGATAGAGTGCGAAAACCACTGTGTCTTCGGACGACGCAGGACGACGCCGGACGACGACGACAACGACGACGACGACGACGACGACGCCAACGTCATACCAATATACGACCAAAAAATTTTTAATTTTTGCGGTCGTATAAAAAGGGTTTAAATTGAACAACATTAATTTATAAATTTATATTAAGGGAATTTTTAAATGAATATGTGTTAATGTCCGTCACGAAATTACAGTAATAAAATGTAAAAAAAGTCAGTTCTCAAGGTCTCAAATGTCTTATTTCATGATCATACTTTCTTTGTACTGTAGATTCATTTATTTTCGTGGGTATCAATTTTCGTGGATTGAGGAAAACTTACACTTTTTGAAAAAAAACAAACCCCAGGCGATGTAAAAAAATTTGATTTTATATGAAATATAAGACAATTATGCATAGTTTGGATTCAAAACTTGAATATCATTAAGCATATGCTCTAAAAAGCCTGTGTTGCTAACGCGGGTATATTTTCATCTTCAACAATAGCTACTCTTCAACTTTCTAGTCTAGCAAATAACTCATGACTAAACTATTTTGTATTGTTGATCTTGTCTTGCTGATCTTTTTTGCTGTTTATAATTTTTCTTTATTCACCAAAGTTTTTTCCCAAATTGCAAAAATAGTAAAATCATTATTAAAAGGCAATAACTCATATTAAGAGTTCAACTTGGCTTTCAATTTTTGCGATCTTGATATATTGTAGATCTTGTCCTGCTCAACATTTTTGCTTGCTAAATTTTCTATTTTTCTATTACAGGTTTCAAGATAAGAGGCAGAAACGCAAACTATTGGTAAAAATTGTCATTTAAGCGCAACAACTATAAAAAGTGGACAAACGATTTCAGTAGAATTGACGTGTATGCAGATCTTGTCTTGTGAATCATGTTTGCTATTCAAAGTTTCTAGCTATCATAGATTTCCAAATAATCGCAAAAAACATTAACATCTGATAAATATCGTCATTAAGGGATAATAACTCATAGAAAGAGTCAACTCACGATTTCGGCCATGTGTTTTATTTGTAGATATTGTCTTATTGGTATTTAAACTATTTAAAGTTTCGCTCTGTCTATTATAATAGTTTTCAAGAGTATAGGTAAAATGAAACTAGAGAGCCTGTGTCACTCACCTTGGTCTAAGTGCATATTCAATAAAGGAAACTCTCCAACATTGTAGACGAGAATAGAATTCATGACAAAAATCTCTGTTTTGTTGATCTTGGATTGCTGATCATTAAGTCAGTTTAGTTTCTCTCTGTCTTATTTATTTCTTGTCAAAAGACAAAAAGAGGGTAAACAAAATCCTCATTTAAGGGAAACCACTCATATGAAGAGTGACAGTCTACTAACTATATCGGCAAAATTTGACTTGTTAGTAGATCTTGACTTGCTGATCATTTTTTTTTTTATTTAAAGTGTGACAGTCTATTTATTTATTACAATTTTTTTCATATATGGCAAAACGAAAAAAGTCATTAATGGGCAATTATTCGAATAAGGAGTCGACGGACGAATTCCCCCATACAGTCTTAATTGTAGATCTTGTCTTGTTGATCATTTTTGCATTTTTAGTTTCTATATATCTATTATAATTTATAAGATAAAAGATATAAGGCAAAAACGCAAAAAAATGGTAAAAATCGTCATAAAAGAGCAATAACTCTAATAAGGAGTCGACTGACGATTTCGACCATTGGACTTATTTGTAGAACTTGTCTTGCTGATCATGTTTGCTATTTAAAGTTTCTCTTTATCTATTATAGTTTTCAATATAGTATGCAAAAATAAAAAAAAGTAAAATATGTCATTTAAGGGCAATAACTCCTACTAGAAGTCGTCTGACAGTTTTGACGTATTAAAGCAATTGGTAGAGCTCAACATTCTGAACATTTTGGCTCCCATCAAATTTTATCTATTTATAACGGTTTTAAAA